CACAAATGTGATAAGCTGTAGAATACCCTGGTTACCTCAGACGATTGTTGTGTGGATAAAACTGGGAGAGGGAGAGCTATGTATTTCACCTTGAGCTTCCTGGAGGAGGAGGGGAAAATGGGATATAAATGTAATGGCTGTTAGGCTTTTCCTCAATAAAAATGGAAACTGCTCTTGAGGTACATTGTAATCTGTGCTTGACTTTATAACCCTTCCGTGTTTTAATCTGCCTGCTGTTCAAGTTTTTTACCTGCTGCATTCTGCCATTTGTTGATTAGAGTGTCATGGAATTCTACCCAATATGCTGATCCAGAGCAGAACTCCAATGTATAGTTAGCAGAGTAAAAACTTAAACACGTTGCAGGATCCCCCCAAAATAGACCAGAGGCAATTTCATTCAGCAGAGCTTTACTGCTACTGAAGGCAGATGAACATAATGGTCACAAATCCAAAACCTTCGGGATTGGGCCTGTCCATAAGAAATCCAGTTGCAGCAGACTTAAACTTACAATAACTTATAATAAGACTAAAACCTTAACACTAAGCATACTATGTACAGAGCACCACACCGGAAGGAAGAGAGAGAGAAAGAGAAAGAGGCTCCTTCTGGCCACTTCTTATAGTCAGCATGACCTTGAGAGAAAGAGATAACAGAACCAGTTTAAACCAGCTGTACTCAGCGTCTCTGAAGGAATAACCCAAACAAGACATGAACCTTCTGCTTGCTTCTTTCACACACAGAAACTTCCAGAAACCTCTTGAATGAATTAGAATAGGAAAGATCTCTACACATCAGATCAATACCTTCTGCACTAAGAAATGCAAACTGACCTAGAGGGTTTTTTCCAGGTGGGGCGGACTGCCCTTAGAGGTCTCTCCCGCAGGCCTGTTCTAAGCTCAATAACTGACTTAGTGAGGAAGATTCCCAAAAACATTAGCCACATCTCCTTCCCCTCTTCCCTCGTCCTTTCCTCAAAGAGAGCCATTGTCATGAAAACACCACCATTTCATGAACCTGTTACCAAAAAAAAAAAAGAGTCAGGCTTTGCTTTTGCAGCTCAACTCCCTCCCAAGGGACCTAAGACCCCGCAATGTCCGCTGTCGGTCAGAGGAAGTGAATAGAACTGACAACCAATTCCTTCCTTCATGGTGTAAAATAAAAGTGGAATGGTACAGATCCAATGCATGGCTGATTTGTGTGTGTGAGTGTGTGTGTGTGTCATGTTTGTACAAACTGAATGATTGGGGGGGGGGGGTTTCCTGCAACAAGCTTTATCCATAAAACAGACAAAACAATCTCAGCCTTCTGCTGCTTCTTGAAACTTCTTCTCAGTTCTTCTCCGTTTCTGGAACAAACGATTCTCACACACACAGAGAGAATATCCAACAGCTTCACATTTGGTGCTGTTTGCACCGTTCCTCCTGGGACCCTGGCTGGGAAGCAGAACTGAGTTGGGGAAGCCCTCAAATCCATCTGCACCACAGCACGGCCGGGCAGCCAGGCTGACCTGCACATGGCTGGTGCACCAATGAGGCCACCATGCTCCACAAGGGGCAGGAGATGCCGCTGGTCTCCTCCCACCCCACAGATCCAGGGCCTGAATCAGGGGTGTGGTGGGGGCATCAGCAACACATCTTGCCTTGAGGCCCATATTTTGTTATTCTGTATGTTGTAATTCTGCTAGTTCGCCTTATGATAGAATTGTTTAGTTGCTTATGGGTCCTGTTGATACGATTTTGTAATTTTTGTATATAGTTTTTCTCTGTTTCTTTTTATTACTTTGTACCCCACTCTGGAAGAGAAGACTCCCTGGAAAAGACCCTGATGTTGGGAAAGATGGAGGGCACAAGGAGAAGGGGACGACAGAGGATGAGATGGTTGGACAGTGTTCTCGAAGCTACCAGCATGAGTTTGACCAAACTGCAGGAGGCAGTGGAAGACAGGAGTGCCTGGCGTGCTCTGGCCAGTGGGTCACGAAAAGTTGGACACAGCTAAACGACTCGACAACAACAACAACCCCACTCTGGGATTGAAAACATTCAATAATGAGTGGGTTATAAATACTGCTATTAAAAAAAAAAAACCAGGACAGAAGGTGTTGTGGTCCCAAGGTGGTGCTTCTCCCTCACACCACAGGAAATCCTTTCTCCTTGCTCCCCTCCCTGAAGAGGATGAGTTTGGGGATCGAGCAGGTAATAAATACCCTTATAGCACCTCAGCTGAATGCAATGGCTTTGCATGCAGATGATGCATTCCTGGACAAGGACAAAAAATCAGGTCACTGCTGCAATTGGTGTGCTAGTCCTAGATGGTGCTCATATGACCTCATACAACTCAGCTGTTGCCACCTAGAAGACACACCTCAGGAAAGGGCTGCTGGGGGTCAGAACTGCAGGTAGACTAGACAGGGAGGCACACAGCATATTCAGCTGAGTGTCTGTTTATCATCTGTGCTCCTGACAAGACAGGGTGTCTAAGGAGTAGAAGAGTGTTCAGCCCTTGTGGTTTTCCTGGAGTTCATATAAAGCAAGGAGGGAAATGTAATTTTGCATGATGGGGTCTTCTTGGCATGGCTCCCTATTGCCAGTTGCAAGCAGAGAACAAGGCCTCCTTTACAGTTATGCCTTCACCTGATCTGGATCTGACTCAGGTAGGTCTGGCGTCAAAGAGCAGCTTAGAGATGATAATAATAATAATAATAATAATAATAATAATAATAATAAATACATATTATTTATACCCCGCCCTCCCTGGCCAGAGCTGGGCTCAGGGCAGCTAACACCAATACAATTACAGTCAAAACATAATGGGGGGGGGGCAATTTAAAATACAGGTTAAAATGCAATTTAAAATGCAGCCTCATTTTAAAAGTGGCCCATAGATCAAGACCATAAGGGGAGGGAAACGTAAGGGTCAGACTGAGTCCAAACCAAAGGCCAGGCAGAACAGCTCTGTCTTGCAGGCCCTGCGGAAAGATCTCAAGTCCCGCAGGGCCCTGGTCTCTTGCGACAGAGCGTTCCACCAGGTCGGGGCAAGTACTGAAAAGGCCCTGGCCCCAGTTGAGATGAGCTATATGACCTTCAAATGCACATAGGGAAATGCGTAATTCAAGCTCAGTGGATGAGGAAGCTTTAAGCAAAGTACATTGTCTTGTTTGTTAGAGGGCCTTCTCGGTGGTGGCGCCCTCCCTGTGGAACGCCCTCCCATCAGATGTCAAGCAGATAAAGAATTACACACCAGGCAGCCCTGTATCAGGAAGTTTTGAATGTTTGGCATTTTATTATTTTTTATGTTTTGCTGGAAGCTGCCCAGAGTGGCTGGTGAAACCTAGCCAGATGGGAAGGGTATAAATGTTGTTGTTGTTGTTCTTTGTTTGTTTGTTTGTTTGTTTGTTTGTTTGTTTGTTGTTTTATGTACTTTTGTCCCTTTATATTGTAAACTGCCCTGTGATCCTCAGATGAAAGGTGGCATAGAAATTTAAGTAATAAATAATAAATAACAAAGTACCTCACCAAAGAGTAAGCTGAGCAGTCACCGAAATAGAGAAGTCCTCTTGTGGATCAGAAGTTGGTTAAGTTGCTGGAAGCAAAGAGTAGGATTGAATGGACAGAGAGAAGTAGAAAGTGGAGTCCTACTTCAATTAGTACTGGGACCTCTGCTTCCTAACTTGTTCATAAACGGTCTAGAGTTGGGAGTGAGCAGTGAGGTGGTCAACTTTGCTGACGATAATACATTATTCAGAGTTGTTAAAACAGAATGAGATTGCGATGAGCTCCAAAAGAACCTCTCCAAACTGAGTGAATGGGCAGTAAAATGGCAAATGCAGTTCAATGTAAATAAGTGTAAATATTGGTGCATATTGCAGCAAAAGAAAAAGAAAGAAAGAGACCCTTAATTTCACTTTTGTGCTCATGTGGTCTGAACTGGAGGTGACAGGCCAGGAGAGAGACCTTGAGGTCATAGAAGATATCTCGAGGAAGATGTAGACACAATGGATGATGGCTCTGAAAAAGGCAGATTCCATGCTAGGGATCACTAGGAAAGGCATTCAAAATGAAACTGTCCACATCATATTGCTGTTACACAAATATATGGTGGGGCTGCATTTGGAATACTGTGTACGGTTTTGGCCACCTCACCCCAAAAAGGATATTGTAGAGTTGAGAAAGGTTCAATAAAGGGTAGCCAAAATGATCAAGGGGGTAGAGTGACTCGCCCTGTGAAGAATGGTTGCAGCATTTGGGACTTTTTAGTTTAGAGAAAAGGCAAGCAAGAGCTGACATGATAGAAGTTTATAAAATTATGCATTGCCTGGAGAAAGTGGATAAAGAAAAGCTTTTCTCCCTCAATCATAGCACCAGAACTTGTGGACATCCAAGGAAGCTGAGCGTTGGAAGATTCAGGATAGAGAAAAGAAGGGACTTCTTCACGCAGCAAAGAGTTAAACAATGGAACTCACTCCCACCGGAGGCCACAAACTTGGATGGCTTTAAAAGAGAATTGGATGAATTCATGGAGGATAAGACTATTAACGGCTACCAGGAGGGAAGAGGGCTGCTTGCTGGTTTCTCATTGGGGCAACTAGTCGGCCACTGTGAGAACAAGATGTTGGGCTAGTTGGGCCACTGGCCTGATCCTGTAGGCTCTTCTTATGTTCCAGATGTGCTGGCTTTCAATTCCCACCGTCCCCAGCCAGCATGCGCATCTGAAGGGCACCAGGTTGGGGAATACTGGTGTATTTGTTTGAAGGTGCTCGAGTTCCACTCACTGATTGACTTGTGTACCGGTGAGCGAAGCAGAACTACTAGGGCTCTCCTAGAACTCAGCCCCAGCCAGCAACTGATCCTCCGGGACCCTTGGGGTTGTAGAGAGAGAAGGTGTCAGTAGGAAACCTTCTACAGGGAAAGAGGAGGAAACAGCGTTGCTTCCCTTTTGTGTAGCCAACCTTAAACGCAAATTTTCTTTCTTGGGATTTCATTTTTTGTTAAACTAGAACACCATGGATCCAGACAAGTTCAACTCCAGCTCCTCTGCCTTCTTCTTAGTTGGCATCCCTGGGCTAGAAAGTGCCCACTCCTGGATGGGCGCCCTCTTCTGCTCAATGTACTTGATGGCGCTTGCAGGAAACTGCGTCCTCCTCCTGACAATCCTCCTGGCTCACACCTTGCACCATCCCATGTTCTACTTCCTGGCCATGTTGGCAATGATTGACCTGGTCATGGCCACAACTGTGGTCCCCAAGATGCTTGGCATCTTCTGGATGGGCTCTCAAGCGATTGGCTTTGATGCTTGCTTCACCCAGATGTTCCTCATCCACGCCACCACAGCTGTGGAATCAGGAGTCTTGCTGGCCATGGCCTTTGACCGGTATGTCGCCATCTGCCACCCGCTAAGATATGAGACTATCTTGACATCCCAAAGGGTCGTGCAGATAGGGCTGGCCATTCTGGCAAGAGGGATCCTCTTCATGGTGCCTTTGACCTGGATGTTGAGGCGTCTGCCATACTGTGCTTCCAAAGTGATATCTCATTCCTACTGCGAGCACATGGTGGTCATGAAATTGGCCTGTGCAGATTATTCTGCAAGCAGCACCTACAACTTGGTGGGGACCACCCTCATTGTGGGGACCGACACAGCCTTCATCGCCTTGTCTTACAGACTGATTCTCAGGGTTGTGGGGAAACTTGCCGAGAAAACCGAGCGGCTCAAGTCCTTCAGCACCTGCAGCTCCCACATCTGTGTGATGGTGCTCTATTACCTCCCAGGTTTGGCCTCCCTTTACATCCAGTGCTTTCCCCAGGCGGTGCCACCACACGTGCAGGTCCTGCTGGCTGATCTGTATCTCAGCCTCCCTCCCATGCTGAACCCCATCATTTACAGCATCCGGACAAAGCAGGTGCGTGAGGCTCTGTGCAAAGTATTTTCCTTCTTCAAGGGTTCTCTTGGGTGAGCAAGCCTGGGATGGAGCAAGAGAAGATTTTTCCATTTGAGGAAAAAATATTTTCCATTGACAGGCTGAACTCTTTCTCCCTCTGCTCATCAACCCCTCTGCCATTCCCCCCACATTAACTCGCTAGAACTTCCCCTTCCCATGCCATGGGACTACAGAGATTGCTTTTCACCATCATTTCTGAAGCCGTTTCTCTCTTCTGTTCTGCAGTTCTGCTTCGCACCCAATTTCACCACCACCCACATGCCCATGCGTCTTCCCCGCTCCTTTCGTGCAACCCACCCTGCATGCAAACCGCCTCCATGGTGCAGTGGTTAAAAGCGGTAGTCTCATAATCTGGTGAACCGGGTTCGCGTCTCCGCTCCTCCACCTGCAGCTGCTGGGTGACCTTGGGCCAGTCACACTTCTTTGAAGTCTCTCAGCCCCACTTACCTCACAGAGTGTTTGTTGTGGGGGAGGAAGGGAAAGGAGAATTTTAGCCACTTCGAGACTCCTTAAGGGGAGTGAAAGGCAGGATATCAAGTCCAAACTCCTCCCTCCAATTGTCCTACCCTGTTTACACACACAGATTCCATCATCACCACCTTCACCCCCTGTAAACAGACAAGGAGCATCTCCTTTACAGTACATTTATGATTCGGGAACTACAGAGATAAAGATAAATGGTCTTCCCAAAATTAAGGTTTACGTCCTCTTCAATTCAAACTTATCTCACCGGGGCTTTTTCTCAGCCAGAACTTGCCAGAACTCAGTTATGGCACCTCTCAGATGGCCGCCATTGCCATTAAAAGAGAACAAGAGAAGCATTCATGTTGAGTTCCAGCACCTCTTTTTATAGAAAAATAGCACTGTATCTCACAAAACACAATAGTAAGCTAGGAGGAACTGCAGATATAGGGCGGTATACAAATTTAATAAATAATAGTAACAATAAATAATAAAACAACAGTTCAAAAGACTCAGGTGTACTATTATTCACTAAATAAATAAGCTCCATCCCCTATGATAGACTATACTTTATTGTCAAATGTCTTCTTCTTCTTTTGTCCAAACTAAAACATTAATCCAGATGCAAAAGAGAGAGAGAGAAGGGGGAAACGAAGGAAGGAAGGAAGGAAGGAAGGAAGGAAGGAAGGAAGGAAGGAAGGAAGGAAATGAGAGAGAGAGAGAGAGAGAGAGAGAGAGAGAGAGAGAGAGAGAGACTTAAGAAGCTATACTTAAATTATGCTTCCAATGGTTAGGGAGCTCACAGCTCCAGCAGGACCCCCCTCTTTGCTCCTCAACAACCTCAAGGATCAGCCTGAGAGATGCTGTTGCCTTGCTGGCCCAGGATTCTGAAGAGGAGAGCTTATGTCTCTCAGAAGGCGATAGGTGTTCCCCAATAGCGGTCTCCGAAGATGACCAAAGCCTGTGGGCAGATGGAGGTTGCAGTAGAGGCCTCCTTCAGCTCTCTGGATCCCAAACAGATACAGAAAAGCACAGGCTTTGTTCAACAGCTCACCAGAGGTCAAGTGCAGCAAACCTGATTCCTTATTCCTTGGAATCAGCAACCTGTTTAATGAGCATCTAGCCTGATTTGTTTGCAGGGAGATTAGACAATGACCAGGGCCGGCTCAAGCATGAAGCAGTTGCCTCAGGCAACAAATTCTAAGGGGCAGAAAGTGGCTACAAATGTGTGCCATGTGGTCTCCCTGCAGCCCCTAAGCTAGCCTGTTACTCTTGGGGTCAATGAAGGACTGTCCTATTCCAGTGGTCAAGTAAGAGTCAACTACTACTCTGGTCCAATTTTGTGCACAGAATAGGCAATGCATCTTCTTGTCCTTTGTGTTGGGCAGCAAAATTGCTTGGGCCGCTCCTGGTGATGGCAGATATTCAGTGAACATTCAATGAGACTTAAATGGCTCAGGACCACAATACCTCAAGGACCACCTTTCTCCATATGAGGCTCTTCTTCATGTGCCTCCTCTGTGAGACGTCCGGTGGGTGGCAACACAAGAACAGGGCAAGTTCTCAGCTGGTGCCTTCGTTGCATATCTTTAGGCAACAGGCAAAAACATTTCTTATTAGCCATGCCTTTGGCTGGTTAACATTATATGGCTTCCTAAATGTGTTTGTTGAGCTAGCAAAAGAGTAGATAGAGTGGATCGTTTGGCTGGAAGTTAGAAGAGGATATTTCCCCCAGGAGGCCACATGAACTTCACGCAACAGTGATGGATCCAGAAGTACCCCAAAGCTATGGACTTGCTTCTTCAGAGGGAACATATCCCCATCAAGAGCAGACCGCCTCCCACTCATCCTGTCTAGAGAACCACTGGACAATAGTAGTATCTCAGTCTTATTTGGACTGAGCTTCAGTTTATTGAGTTTCTCCTTTATTAACTGACCAATAACCCTTTGACAAGGAGTATGCTACTAGAAAACCTGCTGCACACACAAACTCCTCACCACTGTAAACGATAGTGAGGTCAAATGCAGCTGGGACCAAGTAAAGAGGAAGGCGATATGGGTAATGAAGGATTTTACGTTCCAAAATTACCATGCCAAACTGGAGGCCCAGGGGAGTCACATGTGAATGAGGTAACACGCAACATACTGTATGTGCATTTAAGCATGGCAGGGAAGGCAGGGAACATTTATTGCAGATATTAATATTGCACAGTTTGAAGCGACTGGATGCATAAAAACCGACTCCTTTGGAATGAGGCATTGCCCAAACTCATTAGAGTGTTCGAACCTTTGCTTGCAGAACTTTCTTCAAAACAGAAGAAAAACATCAAAGATACATCCAAATATTTCCATACAATATATTGTGCAGGTCCAGCACAGGTTCATCTTCTTAGAAATAAAATAAATCTGATCTAAGGTTAAACACTCATGTGTTAGCTAGCAGAAAACAGCAACTGTTAATTATCAATCCATCAAGGAGCTCAGAGACCACTTCTTGCTGTTCTATAGCTTCAGTGGAATCTCCCACTTAAACCCTTTCAGCAAAACACATTAGTATTCTGGCTGACTGACCAAACCCAAAGGGTGCTCATCAATGGTTCCTCTTCATCCTGGAGAAGAGTGACTAGTGGGGTGCCACAGGGTTCTGTCTTGGGCCTGGTCTTATTCAACATCTTTATCAACGACTTGGATGATGGACTCAAGGGCATCCTGATCAAATTTGCAGATGACACCAAACTGGGAGGGGTGGCTAACACCCCAGAGGACAGGATCACACTTCAAAACGACCTTGACAGATTAGAGAACTGGGCCAAAACAAACAAGATGAATTTTAACAGGGAGAAATGTAAAGTATTGCACTTGGGCAAAAAAAATGAAAGGCACAATACAAGATGGGTGACACCTGGCTGGAGAGCAGTACATGTGAAAAGGATCTAGGAGTCTTGGTTGACCACAGACTTGACATGAGCCAACAGTGTGACGCGGCAGCTAAAAAAGCCAATGCAATTCTGGGCTGCATCAATAAGAGTATAGCATCTAGATCAAGGGAAGTAATAGTGCCACTGTATTCTGCTCTGGTCAGACCTCACCTGGAGTACTGTGTCCAGTTCTGGGCACCACAGTTCAAGAAGGACACTGACAAACTGGAACGTGTCCAGAGGAGGGCAGCCAAAATGGTCAAAGGCCTGGAAACAATGCCTTATGAGGAACGGCTAAGGGAGCTGGGCATGTTTAGCCTGGAGAAGAGGAGGTTAAGGGGTGATATGATAGCCATGTTCAAATATATAAAAGGATGTCACATAGAGGAGGGAGAAAGGTTGTTTTCTGCTGCTCCAGAGAAGTGGACACGGAGCAATGGATCCAAACTAGAAGAAAGAAGATTCCACCTAAACATTAGGAAGAACTTCCTGACAGTAAGAGCTGTTTGACAGTGGAATTTGCTGCCAAGGAGTGTGGTGGAGTCTCCTTCTTTGGAGGTCTTTAAGCAGAGGCTTGACAACCATATGTCAGGAGTGCTCTGATGGTGTTTCCTGCTTGGCAGGGGGTTGGACTCGATGGCCCTTGTGGTCTCTTCCAACTCTATGATTCTATGATTCTTCATATCAGTGCCAATTAAGCAATTATACTTAATATCAATAATGTGGGTCAGCCTTTTATATTCTGAGACTGATTCTTAGTATATGCAAGTGGTATTGGTAAGAGACTCCCCCTCTAGAGCTAGTTCAGAAACTCTACAGATGAGCTTTCTCCTTGCATTTGATTTGAGCCACAAATCACCCTGAAGCTCACATCAGGCCTTTAGCTCGTCTCCGGGACCAAGACAGCATCTTAGCCAGTTTCCTTTGGATTTCTTTTGTCCGGACGGCATACACAATGGGATTCAAGACGGGAGGGAAGATGAGATAGAAGTTGGCCAGGAGGATGTGAGCTGCAGGAGCTACATTGTGCCCAAATCGGTGAGTCAAAGATGAAACTGCTATGGGGATGTAAAAGGCCAAGATGGCGGTGATGTGTGAGGTGCAAGTGCTAAAGGTCTTAAGGCGGGCCTCCGTGGTGGACAAGCTCATCACTGCCCGGAAGATGAGAATGTAGGACACCCCGATGCACAGGGAGTCAACAATGAGGACCAGGAAGCCAATGGCCATGCCGTAGATGTTGCTGATAGAGATGTCCTCGCAGGAGAGCATCACCACAGCCATGTGCTCACAGTAGGAGTGTGCAATGATGTTGGTGTGGTAGTAGGTGTATCGATGGGCGAGAAGAGGCAGTGGAGCGATGTATAGGAAGCCCCGCAGAACAGCGGCCAGCCCGATCTTGGCTACCACCGATTGGGTCAGGATGGTCCTGTGCCTCAGCGGGGTGCATATGGCCACGTAGCGGTCAAAAGCCATCGCCAGGAAGATCCCAGATTCAATGGTGGCAAAAGAGTGGATGACAAACATCTGGAGGAGGCAGGAGTGGAAGGCAATGTCCTTGTTGCCCAACCAGAAGATGCTGAGCAGCTTGGGCATGGTGGAAGAGGAGAGGACCAAGTCGATGACAGCCAACATGGA